TAAAACGTTTAATTACAAAAAAAGTCTAGGAAAAAGGAAAACTATAATACTAAATTATTAAACAAAATTATAAGTTTAAATATGTATAAGTTGTGAACTAATTTAGTCTTTACATATTTATATAAATGTACCTACTTTCTTGGCTTCCGTTCTCTACAAGCACGCCAGCTGTTGCAAATAACCCTCTATAGCTCTCATCATAAACAACAGTCCATTGGGGATAAGAAGCCATGCGACCTTTCTAAAATAATATTACTCATACGGCTATAAATTAGCTACATAGTTAAAGCATTTAATACTCTATTTATTAATCTTTAGTGCCGTTATTTATGCATTCAAAATTATTTTTTCTCTTCGCGTTGTGTACTTAAATTGCACCACTGGGAGGTACTATAAATGTTAGCAGATCTTTAATTCGGAACGTCAGCGCTTTACGTTCATATTATATGGACGCCCACGATGTGTTGGTACGCGGAACTACAAAGCGCCTGTTTCGTTTTATTGTTATCCCCAAAACGATACGTTTATGAAAATGTTTGCTATTACCAGGCATTGTAAGGTTAATATAAATTGAGAGTTAATTCTACATATTTTTTTAGTTTTAAATAAGTATTACGTGTTTCAGTTTCCAAATGTAATAAGATGTTTTGCCCCTTTATCGTCCCGTTAAGCCCCGCGTTAAATCTACAACAAATTTTAGTGAGATGTTTTAAAATAGACTATAAATTTTGCTTTCAGCGTTCGAACACTTCAAACAAGATCTCTTCAACAGTCTTCACGCCACCGACTCCAGAGTCCGCTGGGTACTCCAACTTTTTAAAGAGTCTTTAATGGTATTCTGAACGCATCCAAAAATTCGCTCGCGTATGCCAGTGCGAATTTCCATAAAGAAATATACATTTATTTTTTATTACCAACTGGCGGCATTGGCAAACGAATTATTCAGCCTATTTTCTTTGCCTGTGTTACATTGTGTGACAGCGCGTTGTGTATGACACGAATACTATATTACTTTATGTCAAGGCTCGAGATATGGGGATGAAATGGCATGGAACATGACATGCGGTTTATGCTAAATTGTGGTTTTGTGCCAGACGTTACATTATTTTTATGTCTGAATATATATCATTTAGAAGAAGATTTCATTTATTCAAAAATTATGACAGAGACAAAATTTTAATTAAAAATATTGTGTTGTTGTCTTTTTTATTTATGTCACATTTGCATAAAATTGAATCCAATCGTAGCGCCGATTGAGTACAATTGTGCGTTCCAAATTTGAAATTGTAGAACACACGAAATAAATTTCAAGTGAATGTCATCTATTTAATTTAGTTAAAATTTTGCCTGATATTAATAAACAGATGAATGTTTTTTCTTAACAATGAACAAGAGTTAATTGATATTCTGTCTATGATTAATATAAAACCTTCACGATCAATAAATCGAATCAACTTTTTCTAAATAAACCAATGTCTTTGCCAAATGATCATAACCAATCAATCTTGCCGTTTAATTACTATTTCGTAAAAAAAACGTTTACCGGATGATTTGTTTTCTAGGTTTTTCAGTAGCAGTAATGAGTCAGGCTATATGTCAAATAGTCCGTTACGATCGCCCGGTGTACATTACAATGGACACAGAAAATAAACATTCAATAAAATGAAGAAAATGAGGTTCGATTATAATTGTTTTTTTTTTGTGTTTAACAAATGAGGTTTTAATTTGTTTTTACCATAGATTGCATGCATCTTTTAATTTTAAATATGGAACATCGTTCGTTCTGATTATAATTTTTTTTTGTGTTTTGTTTAAGTTTTAAGATATCTATTTTTTATCCATTTGCTTTTTAATAAGTAATTTAATGCAAAATGAAAACTATGTAGACAGTTAATGGAGCGAAAGCATTGCTACAAATGGAAATACTTAGCGAAGTAATAACAAAATGGGTTTTGCATTTTCATAATAGGATAGCTTTTAGCACTTTAATCTCGTTTCATAATATAACTATAAGATAGGTAGAACAATAATAAAGAAATGTGTATAATTTGCATGTCTAATGTTTAATTTTTAATAAAGGTAATTTCTTTCTTCCTTATTCTTTTTTTATTATTTCCGTTATTTTTTTTACGAAAGTCTTCTATTATAAGTTATATGTTATTTTAACGTCATAATTCATCGGGCCGTTAATGCAGGTATGTACCATGGCTACAAAAAGACCTCTTTTCAATCGGTGCCACCTTTGGGCACGTAACACAAGAGGAGTTGTAAGTGCGTAGCCAGCTTTTGGGGATAAAAAGAGTTTGATTGCTTAATATCAGGTAATCCGCGTGCTTATTTGGGGCCATGACACAAGAATTACCATTAGGTAATCCCGCCGTATCACATGAAAATACTATATAGCATGTGCTGATAATAGATCACAGGTCATCTATTTGTTATATTGCTGGATAATAATATTCTTAATTGCCTTATCTGTCGCTTAGCGGATGACAGATTGATGTTTTAGACAAATGATATTTTAGCTACAGTCCTAAAGTTTAATTTATTTTTCGACACATTTACATACATATATTTATACGATACATAGATTACAACTGCCTTTATCTATCAATCTGGGCAACTGCTATCCATTTCTTATGTTTCTTAATCAATTTCTGGTAAATTACTGCAAGTATGACAATAGTCACTTTGTGCCCGCTATCGGATAGCGCGCAAGCTCAGTTCAAGGAACGTGTGTGGCAGGGTCGCCATGGAGTAACACAAAAAGGTACCTCGGCCTCGACTTCGGCCTGGAGCAGGAGAAGGAATTCCAGGTTTTTTAGTAAGAGCTTGACACTTCCTCACGCCATACAATATGCGAGAGAAGATATTCCTTCTTAAAAAAAAAACAAATTTTATGAAAATAGACACGAGATCTAGGTACTTTCATAAAATTTACGCTTTAGATTATGCATCTTACTCTAATTGCCTTTGATAAAAAAGCAAGAAGGTAGCGAAAAGATAGCGCAAATATATTCTAATTGCCTTTTATCTTGCCTCTTTTTAAGTTACCGCCTTTTAAGCAAAGGGAACCGTTTTATTTTAGGAAAAGCTCGAAGTTCAGCCTGCTTCTAATTTTTATATAATACTTATATCTAGTTAGTTAATATTTAAAGCATGTATATTTTCAGCTCATAACTGGAACTTAAGCATAAACAATACTATTTTTTATGTATAGGTAAACTTGCTTAATTCGTACCTGCGCCTAAATCGCACCTAGTCTATATCTCAGCATGGGTAATAGTTACCAGCGCCTGTGGTGGCATAAAATGTCAATAATAGTCGGCCAGATTGCCATATGACAAATAAACACCGTTTCGTAGCTCCCGACTAAAATATTGAACAGGTAAGTTTTTTCTAACTTTTTGAGTAATTTTTTTGCATACTTCATAAGAACTGTCTTCCAAGTATACCGTTCATAAGTTGTTTAACTGTTTATTATATATTGATGCGTATATTTCTGAATATATTTCACATGGTAAAGCCGGCTTGTTCGTTGACAGTTTTTTTTGCGGCTAATTAGAAATTCATTTGATACTTGTGCCTAATTGGGTAGTTTCCTAGGTCAAAAATAAATTATTACAACGTTTCCATACAATAAAATATTGAAAAATAACTATACTTTTCTTCGTCAATTGATCGATACACTAATTTTTAGATTTTTTTAGCTAATTATCAAGAAATAAGTAAGCTATTTGACGCAGAATAGTTATGACGTCATAGCTCAGTTTTTCATACAAATTTCATAGGAAAGTATCGTTTTTGACGTTTGGATAAAAGTATTGAATTTGACTAGTTGGAAACTATATAAATAACCTAACCTAATTCTCTCAACAGCCTTTTTCATGGATTTTTGGATGGAATGCTATTATTGAAACAATTCTATCTGGTCACGCATAAGTGTGACTTTATAGTAAGTCAAGTGCGATAGGTTAAAATGACCTCTCTGTTGTGTCACGCAAGCATTCGGTTATCTAGATTTTTATTAACGGTTCAAATTGTCGAGATTCTGTGAAACTATTAACGAAAATTATTCTTCACATCAGACCAGGCTGGTAATCTGTTTAAGTGCCCACTATCGAGCATAGACATCTTCTCACACAGAAAAGTTTTGAGCATTAACCATCACACTTGTTCAAGGCGGAATGGTAGTTCCAAACTTATAATTGGAAATTAAAAGTTCAAGTTTCCTCACGATGTTTTCTTTCATCGTTTGTTAGTGATGTCCAAATAATCTTAGAACGTAAATTATTCTTAATTGTGTTTAATTAAAGTTAAGCAATAGTGATAGATAGATAAACTTTTTGTCTTGAGACTGATAAAATAAATTGAATCGGATGGTTGGTATTATAATGAAAAGGTTTGCGAATAGTAAGACTGGAAATTTTTAAAAATAGCCTTATAAGAGAGATCATAGCGTTTTGAGAGAGATGAGATGTCGTTTCTCGAGTTATACGTACAGATTGTATTAAATTTTATAAAAAACTCTTTTTGCTGCTTAGAGATAGGTGAAGGGTTGTTTAGTTTGAGAATCAATTTATCAAATGACTCCTCTCGCTCGCCGAGGGAGTGTCAGACAAGTATGTCTAAGGGTTGGTTGGGGTTGCGGGTTAAGCGCAATGAGTTACCGCGGCCTCGGCCCAGAGCAGGAGAAGGAACGGGGGGTTTTTAGTCAGTAAGAGTCTGACATTCTCTCTCGCCTAACACTGGGCGGGAGAAGACATTTGATTATTTTCACCTGACAAAAAAGGGGTTGGTTTTTAGTCAGTAGACATCCCTTCATCCGTTTCTTTTCCTACTTGCCCTGGCAACCTCAGTTGAGGTATGAAGAAGAAAACGAAAGAGACGGTATCTCAGGAAATGAAGATAAGGAAAGGGCCAGCCATAAAGACAATCCTATAACCGATAGGAATCATACCAAACAATAATTTAAAAAGCATCAAAAATTTTCTTTATTGCATCCGTTGATCAAAAGGAACATTTTTTAACGGTGGATGGGCAGGATTCCCTTGTTCTGTTGGTAGCCGCCTGTAGCCTCTTGATGTCCATGCACAGAGTGAGCTCCGAGGTTGTTGAATTTCTCCAGGACTTCGGCACCACCCTTGTAGCCTTTCTGCAGGTATTCGCCCTGATGAAGAAGACAGAAGATTAGTTAAAGAATGTAAAGGACGATCTTATCTATATTTTTATTATAAAGCTGAAGAGCTTTGTCGGTTTGGAGGCGCTAATCTCCTACTCGGGACTAGTGATTCGAATTGAACAACTTTTTTTGTGTTTGTTGGTTCATATCTCGGGGAAGGCCCGAGCAGTGGGTCAAACCGCGCGAGAATAGCTAGTGTTCTTTAAAATGGCTTGTGGTAAATGGTACGTATTCTCAGTATCATAGTTATGTCTACCTTTTGTACGATTAAATTCTTTCTCGTGGCACCCAACAGAGATATAGTAAAATAAAATTATTGTTACATTTATCCAAAACAAAGTCTAGACCACAATACTTTTCAGTCCGAAAACATTTCGTTAAACCGAAGTGAGGTTAGCGAAACAGTTTTATACAATTTTATTTCAACGAGAGCCCTAAAATGTAGCTCAAACATCTGGTGGCTTTATTCGATGGCTTTTATATAGCGGACCTACAGACATTTCTTTTTAACGAGCTTACAGCCAACTGTTTTCAATTTAAACAATGTATAAAACTAACGTAACATTTTATGTGCCGTTAAAGTTGGCATTTGTTCTATAATAAATACGTTGTATTTAATTTGATGCTTTACTTTTATGAACATCGTTTGTTTGATACTTAAAGTCTTTGCGGCTTAGAATTTCTTAAGTAATTTTGACGATAAACTGAAATTGCTTTGTTATTAAATCTTTTCAATCTTATAAGAATTGTTCTTAATTCTATTTAATAAAATGGCAATACTTTTGTGTCTTCACGTTAACTTGCTTTTTGATGTCAAGCATTATAGTTATATCTACAAACTCGCATTGTTCATTGAGATCAATGTTTCTCAGAACTCAACTCACAAATTGTGGATAAATTGTAAACTACATTTAATACTATCGATATTATAGTAATTATAAATGCGAACTGGATAGACTGTTAAACGTTATCTACGATCATAAAAAGATCTCTAAACTTTAGCAGTAAATCTTAATTAATTGGATGAACCTATATTTGTACCAAAAGTTAATTAGCTATGTTTGAATATGATAGTTAAAGAGGTTATTACTTTTGGATCGCTCTAATAAGGAAAACTATAAATGAGGCATAATGTTCTAGAAAAAGTTTACCACACTATAATTGTTGTCCAATTAAGATGTTATCTATCTTATTAGAGACACTATTGTTATTTCTACCATCAATTAGAATTGTTACATACCTTATTAGACTTGGAGTCATCGATCTTCTGCTCAGACACGTGATGTCCTTCCTTGCCTTGAGCGTTAGCATCCAAAATCTTCTCTTCATGAGCTCCCTTGAATCCTTGCTGAGCGTTCTCGCCGAAGGAACCAGCGTTGTGTCCAGCAAGCTTATGATCAGCCTCGTCATGGGCCTCGTCGTAGAAGCTCTCAGTTTTTTCCTCTTCATTCTTGCTACTAGAACTCTTGAAACCCTTGCTTACGTGACCTTTCTTGTGGCTCTTGGCCTTTTTCACCTGTTCCTCGTTAGCACCTAAAAAATTATTACGAAAAGTGACAAAAAACTCATCTAAATATTAACCGGTTTCCATTTCATTGTACGTTTACTAAATATTAATTTATTATAACGCTTTTTGCTATCTTTTGCCGAAATTTACGATAAAAAACTTATTGATTGACAAGTGAGCGTGAAATCGTAACAAAATAATGAGTCATTTAAAAATATACTTTACGCGTAAGACATTGATTTACTTGTAGAATTTTACATTAACGTACCATGTTTATCGAGTTTCGAGTTGCCTTCGTAAAATTTCTCGTCACCGGCGGCTTTTTTCTTTGCTTCTTCATCCTTGTAAAAACTTGATTCGCCCTTAGCAGCTAAAGCGGCGGCAGCACCCTGTTGGTAACCTTCCTGGCCATGTTTGACTTCCTCCTCAGCTTTCTTTTCTATTTTTTCTAAATTCTCTCCAGCACCCTTTTTCTGAGCGGCATCGTAAGCATTTTTGTCAACGTATCCACCACTCACTTGCTGTCCGATCAGGGGGTGGTACAACAAACCGTTTCCTAGACCGATACCTCCAACTCCCAATCCGCCGATTCCAGGGTGGATAAGGCCGACTCCGTTGCCAAAACCAACGCCTCCAACTCCTCCGACACCACCAACGCCACCAACACCAACACCGCCAACTCCACCCACACCAGCACCACCGACGCCAACACCGCCAACACCGAGTCCGAGTCCCAATCCTTGGCCAATGCCTCCTAGTCCGATACCACCGTAGCCGAGTCCTTGGCCTAAGCCCAGTCCACCAACACCGATTCCGCCAACTCCACCAACTCCACCAACACCAGTAACAGTATTCAAAACAGTAGAGGCAGCTCCTTCTATTTGTTCAGGATAATCTTCACTTTCTTCCACTTCATAACTATTGGATAAAGGCAATCCAGTTTTCCCGTCAGTTCCGAGAGCGTCCAAACGTTCTTTCACATAATCGTAGGGAGTCTTCTCATCAGCTAGCTCTACTTTGTGAGCTGCTGACAACGCAACCAGGGCGAGGGTGAAAACTTGTGTCAACATCATTGTTGATGTGATTGTTACCGACGTTTAGAGACTGATGTCATTTCAGTATTGCACTGTTATTTATACTAAGGTTAAATTCGGTGGAACGGAATAGTTTTTGTATTATTCGTGTGATAGTTTTCACAGGGCGTCTGGGGGCCCGTATCCGGTCGTTTCCTTCCTGTGGTATTGTTTCGACTAGTCCTAATTAGAACGACACTGCTAAAATAAAACAATGTGGTGGTCGAAGACCTTGCTTTCCAGTTCATTGGTGCCGTCAGTGGGGCGTTGGTTTGCGCAACCACCGGACCGCTATGGGTACCGCGTTTTCTAGACAGTTTCTTGTGAATTCCCCCGTATTATCTAATTGCAGATAACATTTCATATTTAAACTAACCATAATTTTCATTTCTTTTTTCAGTAGATAACCCGGCGATCATTTTTAATCTGTCAGTTACAACGATCCTGGCTGATTAATCTGTTCGAAGCATAAAGTGAAAAGGTTAATTAAAAATAAAAAATGGCAACATTTAATAAACAGGTGATTAATTTCCTCTCTGCATTATTAAGCATTATGGCCTTGGTTCAGATCGGACGATTTCACGTCATTGTTTTCTTATGCTCAAAATATATGTCGAGGGCTCAACCAAAGGTTATCCAAGTATTATATTGGGTGTCGATCGACTTGCCAAAGTTGGCCTAAATATGTCACGGAAAAAGCCGCAAGGTGTTTGTTGTGTCAAATAATATATATTGTTTGAATATTTTTTTGTTAGTTTATTTGACTGCTTTGCAGTTTAGTCATCTTAAGCGCCACCGCTGATAACAAGGCTTGTTCACTTCACTACTAGTTTTCAATCAAACGCAATAGAATAGAAATTTTATTTATAAATCTCAGGAAAGAAAAGACCCCATATAACCATGTAAGGAGTCTCTCAAATACCTTAACAAATTACCTACTGACACAATACTAATAACTTTAGTACATTAGCAGGTCTGAATAAATTCCCTGTGCGGTTACCTCTCACTCTTGTCATGTCTTATGAATAATATAATACAAACGATATCGTTATGCCTAACGGAAAATATCAATGTTGAAATATGCCGGGAAAATGTCACCTTCCTAATAACACTTCAAATATTACCGTTTTAAATATTCACCGGTTCTCTGTACTTGTGAAGGCTGCTTGTGGTTTTGAATTCGATTTTAAGGCTCATAAGTTTATATAATATTAGGTCTATTTTCGTCAATTAATCTTTGATAGTCTCGTTAAAAGTTTACCATTAACTAAACTCTTTATAATCATTTTAAACGAGTTTGATTACAGTTTATAAGTTGCGTCCCGAATAGACTAAAAACAATTTTGTTTAATTTTATGTATACTTATTGCTTTGTTAATTATTTTCTTCATTTATGGAGGAATGAACATTTTAGACATCTTTAAATATCTTTACATAGATACACCGTACCTATTACCTATACGGACCTAATAAATATCGATTTTTGCGAAAGTAGGCCAGTCATTGTTAACAAAGACTACAATTCTACCTCTTTTCACAGATAAAATAAATAGGTATGCGTAATGTTTTATTAAAAAATATTCCTCGTTAATAAATTACAATAACAACAGCTGCCACCATTTTGTATTCCATTGACAGAACAAGCAGCATTGATGAATATGTAAATGGAAATCAGAAATATAGCGCTGAAAGCCTGAATAATGTAGGAATGGAAGCAAAACCTTGATTATACAAAAATATGGACAATATTCCCGAAGAATGTATAAGTCAATGGAGATATTATGATGATACTTATTTGTCGAATAATATTATGACAAGAATCTTCAAAACTGAATACCTACCATTAACCCCGTGTAAACAAAATATGAGGGATGAATGGAAGGTTATTGTAGAATTTTCCTAGCATATTATATTTTATGCATTTAATTCACCACGAGAGTGAGTTTTGCGGTTTTACTTAACGTTAAGTAAATTAATTAAATGAATATTACAAGTACTAATCTGTCTACTTTATTTGGAATATCAAAGTATAAGGTAGGTGTTTATGCAACATAGCAAACAAGCTGACGAATCTACTGATGCTATTAAATAATCGGAGCTATTCCGAGCTAAAACACCAAATATGTAACAAGTGGTTTGTCTGCCTTTTGAGGATTGGAAATTTGGGGGTTGAGGAAGAGAGGAGAAAGAAATTGTACACTATTTAACATCATTATGTATTGAAATCACATGTTATGTCCCCGTGGTTTGTGCATATGCTTCTTAAGCTGGAAGGTAAGGTTTTGAACATGGCAGTACCAATGTCACTTTTTCTGAGTTATACATGTATTGAGAGATCACAGACATACGTCGGAGGAAAACGTTGAGAAAACCTGGTCTTATAATTTATAATTATAAGTTTGAAATGACCAATCCACCTTAGGTAAGCGTGGTGGTCAATGCTCATACTTTCTCTGTGTGAGAAAACGCCTTTGTTCAGCACTCATACGCTGATCATGTGATGTGAAGTATTCATATTAGACTTATAACTTATCTGGTCATATGTGATACTCTTGTATTTCTTAGCTGACAACATATTTCCAAGAATCATAGTAGTTGAAGCAACTTTATGCCTCTATTTTTTTAATGTCAAAGTCCAAGCTACGCTGGTTACCTAGTACCCTAACAACGAGGATAGTATTATCATGTCAAACAAAGCCAGCATAATCCAAAACATGGCTCATTGTTACAATGATATCGATATTCATAGAGCAAGAGCTAGGCTTTGAGAAGATTTATTACCTCATATTTTTCAAACTTTGAGGATTTATTTCAGTATGAATAACGTACTACATATATGCATATTGAGGATAAACGAAATTTTAGTATATAAAAATTATAGTTCCTATTAATCCGCAATGGCGCTAGTGTTGTTTTTAGGCTTCATGGTGAGTGAAGGGAAATAATTATGAAGGTAATAAAGTGTGGCAAGCGGGAGTGTCAGACTCTCACTTCTTTACTCTCTTTTTCCGTATTCGGATTCGATGAGTATCATCCCTCAATAAAAAGCTTTACACTATTTAAAATTAATACAAAAATAAATCGGAAAATATGTTAGTAAGCGCATTCAAAAATTCCTGGACCAATATTTTGCCAATTCTTTTTTTGTTGAATTTGTTATTGTCAGGAGATGGTCTTGATATTTTAGAAATGTGGAAGGAAACATCGGGTCGGGAAATTGCAACCGGTTGTATACCCGTGCGAAGCAGGGGCGAGCGGCTGGCTTACGATGAACGTTCTTGGTGACTTTTCTTCTTAAATGCACCTACCTACATTATGTGTTTCATTACAATGATTTTTTTTTAAACTTTGCCCCTCGTGTCGTGGGTGCGTTTACAAACATACAATGTCACATACACATCACACCCAGACCCGGAACAACAATCTGTGGATCACACAAAGAGTTGTTTTGTGTGGGAATCGAACCCGCGACACGTTGCGCGGCAGCCTTTTGCCCAGCCACCGCGCCAACCGTGCAGTCGAATTGGATTATGATATTTTGTTTACTTGAGTTTAATATAGAAAAATTTCGTTATACATTTATAATAGTCAAACCTGACCTCAGTTCTATATCATTAGAAATACATATTTTCATCTTAGTAGTTTCTAAGAAATATAGCAAAAATAAAACCTCTTATTTTCGGGTTCCAGTATTTTAGTAGCTATTGGTTTTTATTACGTGACTCTATGCCTGTTAAAGGATTGTTTATTTTAAGATTTAATAGTTAGTTTATTAGTCACAAATTTTGAGATATAGGTAATACCTAGTTTATTAGTCACAAAACAAAATTAAATGTCTTTTGTTGTGACACTGATAAATTATTTTTCCTAGGTAAAGTTAGGTATTATAAATATTACATTCTTCAACGTTCTAGTGTCTACTTTATCTACGTAACTTGTTGTATGAGATGCTTTTTTCTTTCAGCGATGAATATTATCAGGAGTGTTAGACTCTTGTTGAGCCGTGGTGGCGGATCAAGCACAATAAGAAGGACCGAGGTGGTTATTGGCGAGAAGGTATGAGTAGAAGAGCCAAAGAAGTAATAAGAGAGACGATTTCTAGCACTCAAAAAAGACTCGTATTAATTAAAAATACCGCGTTCCTTCTCACCCTCCAAGCCAGTACCAGTATACATGACTGCACTTACACCCGCAACCCTAACTGGAGGGGCAATGTACTACTAAGTTAAAAATACACATAACGTAAGGGTATAGGTCAGCCGGGGTTGCTGAAAGCGCAATGAGGCACCGTGACCTCTAAAAACTCTCCAGTAAGAGTCTTAAATTCGCTCCCGCTCCACCTAGGCCGGGAGAATTCATTGGATGATTTTCCCCTAACAAAAATTGGCCTATATTTGTATGAATCTATATGTGTAGGTACTTCTACATATACCTTACATCTGGTTTTTCCCAGATTTTAAAGTTAAGATTTCCATTTCCCTTATATCGATCACAATGTGATGGTTGTCTCACAATTCCAGACTTTTTTACCGAGGGTATCGAACCATAGAGTTCAGCAGTCTCCTTTAGAATCACTAGACCAGTAAGTCCGTCAAAATAATATCAATTCACAAGTTCTTTCCTATCCAATGCATGACTGTGACATTCATGCTTCATAGTCTTCTAACTATTCTTAACCTCTCTTCGGACGTGGTACATTGCAGTCCAATTTAATTATGAGTGAAAGATACAAACAGAAAAAGTGATTGTACCTATAATTACTTTGTCATCGTAATCCGGGGAGACGCAAGCTTCTGAAGCAAGAGGGCTGCTACTTAATTCGCAATTTATACCAATGTGACCCGAGTTATACATTTGTTTGTATGTAGTTACTCCTTAAGAGTAATTAGACAATACTGACAAACAGTGAAAGATAACAACATCATGAGGAAACTTGGAATTAGTTGTAATTGCCGATTGTAATTAATTACCAAAATCTCCAAAACCCTAATCTTGACATATTAGGACAGGACATAGACTGACGTGTTACCTGATGGTAAGCAATCAGCGCCACCTATGACATCCATACACTTGTGGAGTTACGAGAGCGTTGCCGGCCTTATAGAGATTAAGGTTTTGAAGATTTAGGTACAATATCTGATTATAATTCATTTCATAAATCTCTAACAC